ACTCAACCATTTATGTGAGCATCCTGATTCCCAGTGTTTTGAACTGTGCATCTGATAGGTTGGGTATCTCTTCATTGCTTAGTTCTATTTTTTAGAGCTTTGATCTTTCTTTCATTGGGCCATATTCATTTGTCTCAGAACATCTGTTACATTGGAAGGGGCAGAGCCTTAGGTATTTGCCAGGGCAGGCCAACTCAGGCAGCTGCGTTGTGACACTATATGTGGGGGAGGGGTCCGAGAGGGAGTAGTAACCTTTGCTCAGCTCTCACCAGCTTTCAGTCACTTCCCCTGCTACCTACTAGCAAATTGGGCCCTTTTGGTGCTGATTCCCAAGTGGGTGTTTGTGTACATTCTAGGACTCTGTAGATCTCTCCAACAAACTCTTGCGAGGTTGGAAATTTCTCTTGATGCCACAACCCCCACAGGTTTTTACAGCCAGAGATTTTGAGAGTTTTTTTCCCCAACACTAGAACCCTGGGTTGTGTGGTCTGTCTCCCTCCCCAGCTTTTTCTCCCAGTTTATCAGCACACAGGTGTGGGACTGCTCAGTCTGCCAGCTGCCACCTCACCCACCTGGTCCTTCAGGCACTGCCTTGCCTCACAGAATCTCTGCCCCAGGTGCCCATCTCTGCCCCTTCTACCAGTCTAGGTAAATTTTTCTTCTTTGACTCCTTGGTTTTTGGGCTTCCATACAGTTTGATTTTCTGGAAGTTTTGGTTATTTTTTGTTTTTAAATTTGCTGTTGTCCTTCTTTTAGTTGGGTGAGGAGGCAAAGTGTATCTACCTATGCCTCCATCTTGGCCAGAGGTCTATTTACTCCCAGATTGTACCTTAAATGGAAATTTTCTCCATGTATGATTTTATGTAAGGCATTGGTAACTTGAGAAATATTTGTTCACTAAGTTATACAGGCTGTCCAAATGTTGACATGTGTCATTATATAACTTCAAAAAATCACATTTATTGACACTACCACAGATATCAGAATTTTCTTTAATTATTAAGAAACTATCAAGCTCATACTGGTGGATGAAGGCATTCCCAAATTCTAACTTTTTCTTGAAAACACAAATTTTATCATTGGTGACTTTTTTTTTCTTGAAACGATAGACTCATTTGTAATTTTCAAGATGGCATTTGTGTATAACTATATTTGTATATCAGTCATTCTTTCAAGTAAAAGAGGTATCTCATTTTTTAAAAAAATCAGCTATTTCAATTCATAGCTCAGGCAAATTGCACAAATTTCATAGATTCTTTATTTTTTTAGAACAATCATCTTACTGTGGCAACCAACAGTAGTGTTTTACTCAAATGCCCATTTAGTCACATAGAATATTAAAGAATTGTGTACTCAAAGTTAAATATTTAATTAAATTAATACATTGTTCTTCTCCAATAAGAACACTCTTAAGTAAAACTGTCCTTATATTTTACATTTTTAAACCATAGGTGCACAGGAGTAAAGTACAGAAGGGTTACTGGAAGTGTAAGGCCATTGCATTGACTCTGAGCCAAGACTTCTGCTGTTTTGCTCATCATTGCTTCTGCTCCATCCATAAAAATGTCAACACAGTGAAAAAAGCAAATAGCATTGTACTCTTATTATTAAAGTAGTTTTGACCTCACAGTTCCCATGAAAAATATTAATCTTATCAAACTTTCATTGGTTATTTATAAAATATATAAATAAAAGTCATTAGTAGAGAATACAAACATAATAAAAAGTTTTATTTTCTTATCATTCCTTCCCTCATTTCAATATTTAAAAAAGTGTTTAGGCATATATAGACATTTTAAAACAGAACTCTGCTCTGGAGTTTTAAACTTGAAAAGAACTTCTTGGAAATTTTACTTCTTGATCTACAATATTAACCTGAAAACATAATTATTATAAAAATTTCTTTAACAAAAAGAACAAAATGTTTCTTCATAAATATGAGTTGAATATTTCCCCACAAAGCACATACCATACTAAGAACAGCTCTGGTATACTCACAACTTGTAAATCAATGGTCTGAGAATTATCTCAGAAAAACACAGTAGACGAAAAAAGTAAACTGAATTCCATTGGCAATATGTGAAGAAAGTGAGGATTTGTAGATGGAGAATTTTCCTCTTCCCTCTGAGCTGCTTTTCTTTTTTTGTGTGTGTAAAATATCCCCGAGCCTTCCTCAAACTGTCCACTGATTATTTTGAATTTTCTTCTCTTTATCAACTTTCTTACCAACTCTCAGGAAACAAATCTAAATGTTAGTCTTGTATTCTCATTTTCTTTATTTTCCAAAATATGGACTTTTATTCACCTCCTCCTTCAAAAGTTGACATGAAAAGAAAAATCATTAAAGAAGGATGCTAATTGAAGTTTAACAGAGAAGTAGCAAGGGTAAGAGTTCCTCTTTTCAAAGAATTTCTAGCAATTAAGAGGAAGGACTTCTGTGACAACCCAAGTCATTTTTTCATCAAAAGTATCACAAAATAGAGATGAAAGAATGGACAAAGTGTTGGTAGATATACAAGATACAAAATAAAAACTCTCAAGTGTTTATAAACATTTGTATATTTTATAGTCACCTCTTAGTTTTCAGAAATACATATATTGAAACTAAACATTTTTCCAGTCTAATTTAAATTGTTTTTCTACTTTGTTTTAGTCACATATTCACTTTTCTTCCCCAAAGTAATTTATTTTATTTAAAAAGCATAATGGCAGAAATAAGAATCCTGTCAGACTGTCTGACCTTTATTTCACAGATTGGTACTGTCTTTATTTTTAATGCCATGGGAGGTGTGAAATATTTCACAATCATTTCAATCTTTTCAGGTTCTCAATTTGGCCTTGACAGTCTAAAGAAATTAAAGCTCAGAGAGGTCAACTGACTTGTCTGAGAGCACAGAGAAAATCTCACTCACTTGGAATAGATTTTCTACACAAAGGCTTATGGTTTCATTGGTAGTAATATAATTAACCTAGTAAACATACTGCATTTGTATTATAGATGGAAACATATTTTCCTGCATACTAATTAAGGATTCATTTATTATTTCTAGTCAAAACAGATAAAAGAAAGATTTTGGCTCTTAGAACCCCCACCATCTGCATTCCTAATGACAACAGAAATCAAATTGGCACATTGCCAGCAACAAATTTATTTAAAAATGCTTTATTTTAGCAAGCAGCAATGTTATTATCTATAATGTTCAAAAATATATGTAACTTTGTAGAAAAATTTATTCTAACATATTTATAAAAGCATAAATAATTATAATCGTTAATACAAGTGCATTATTTAGTCAATATACGAGAAGCCTGTCCAGAAAGTATTTTTCATATTATCATGTACTATGAAAAATATATGTATCAAAGAACATAAAAGGTACAAGAAACATTGTACATAGAACAATGTTGCCTCAGTCCCCTTCAAAGTAGGTGCCTTAGAACCTCACAGTTCTCCAATCTTTGTTGATTGCAGCCCATACATGTTCAACATTCTCAGATGTTCTGCTTGTTGTAGGCTTTCCAGAATATGGATCACTTTCAACAGATTCTCAACCATCTTTGAAATGTTTGTGCCACACTTTTATTGGTGCTGCACTCATTGTATCATCTCTAAAATTCTTCTGAATCATCCAAATAGTTTCCAAAGAGAAATGTTTAAGCTTAACTCAAAATTTGATGCAGATTCATTGTTCCACTTGCTCAATCATTTTGAATGCAACATCCACACGGCACACATGCTCACTCAATGGCATTTACCACCCTTACTGACTAATACAGTGAAGTCATCATCATTCATGCATGCACATTCCAGTCCACTTTACTTGGCTCCCATGTTACATTGATGTCACATAAAACATTCTCATTATATTAACAATGCCTGGACTTTTTCTGGACAGATCTTGTTAATTGAAAAGAAGTAAGCACAAGCTCTTAAAAAGATTTTCAGTTGGATGGAATCATTTAATTAAAGCTTATTACATTTGCTGATTAGATGCTTAGCTATACTTACCTGAGGATAGTTTTTTTCATACCATATTTGAGGTGATCCTTAGTGGTCACTATATTTTTTTCTTTTCCTTTCTAAGATCTTCACGAACAAAATGAATCTATTCAAATGCACCAGTTAATATTACCTACCTCCTTTCCCTTGGACTTTTGGAAATCATAAGATGCCAAAGAAAAGACTTCAATAATTTTCTCAGATTATCCAAATCTGTGGAACAAGTAGAAGTCTCCTTCTCTTCATTCCATTAGTCCACTTTTCTCACTTCTAGAGTTCTGCACTGAGAAGCACCACTAACAAGCCATGAAGCTCCTTTCACAAGGGGTGTTGGATATTGCTCATCTCTTCTTATTGATTAACATAGTTACTTACTACAAGTACATCTTTGTCTTATTTTTTCCAAATTATTGCTATTAGTGCAACATATGAGCTGCAAGAATCTTTGATAAAGTTTTTAAATATCACATAGTTCTTAGCTAGGTGTGAGCATCAGGATCACTTGGGAAATCACCTTATAAAAATGTTTACAAAAGACAAATATCTAGGAGTGAGACTAGGCATAGGTATTTCCAAAACATCTCCAGGTAAGTCTGAAGCACACCCCTAATTAAGAAACAGTATATTCATTGTTCAATAGAACATTCAATGTTTTCTTGAGCTTTACATTTAACTAAGACTTTGAATATTGTTGGGAAAATCTAGAATTATTGATTTTAATGATACAATTAATTTTTTAGGCAAATCCTGCATCCCATTTTGTTCTTTAAGCAACATTTTAACAGTTACTTTGGATGCCTTTTATAGCCATAGTTTATTACACAAGAGACAATATATTCTATAACAGCAGATAATCAATTTGTCTTGTTAATTACTGTCCACATTCTTTAGCCCAAACACATAAAAGGTGCGATGTAAATATTTTTTGCATGATAGAGCCTTTGTATAACAGATCATTAACCCTTTGGTTAAAGAAAGCTTCAATACAAAAAGAGAGAGCGAGCATCTCGCGAGCCACAGGAGGAAGATGGCGGTGGAGTCGTGCGTCACCCAGGAGGAAATTAAGAAGGAGCCAGAGAAGCCAATCGACCGGGAGAAGACGTGCCCTCTGTTGCTGCGCGTCTTCACCACCAACAACGGGCGCCACCACCGCATGGATGAGTTCTCTCGCAGGAACGTGCCTTCTAGCGAGCTACAGATCTACACCTGGATGGATGCCACCTTGAAAGAACTGACTAGTTTAGTAAAAGAAGTCTACCCAGAAGCTAGGAAGAAGGGCACGCACTTCAATTTTGCAATTGATTTTACGGATATTAAAAGACCTGGCTATCGAGTAAAGGAGATTGGCAGCACCATGTCCGGGAGAAAGGGGACTGATGATTCCATGACCCTGCAGTCTCAGAAGTTTCAGATAGGAGATTATCTGGACATAGCAATCACCCCTCCGAATCGGGCACCACCTCCTTCAGGGCGCATGAGACCATATTAAATTTTGTTGACTGTTAAAAAAAAAAAGGCAAATGTCAAAGACAAAGAGAGAATCCTCAAGGCAGCAAGGGAGAAGGAGAAAGTAACATACAAGGGGGCCCCGATACGCCTAGGAGCTGACTTCTCAACAGAAACACTACAAGCCAGAAGGGAATGGCAACAAATATTCCAAGCCATGAAAATCAAGGGCCTACAGCCAAGGCTGCTCTACCCAGCTAGGCTCTCCATTAAAATAGAAGGAGAAATACGGAGTTTCCCAGACAAAAGAAAGCTAAAAGAATACATCTCTACCAAACCAGCACTCCAAGATATGCTAAGGGGACTGGTTTAAGCAGATGAAGGAAAAGAATGAGACAGAGAGGAACACAAGTACAAAGAGAAAAGATGAGTAAGTTTCTATCAGTAATATCTCTCAATGTGAATGGACTAAATGCCCCAATCAAAAGACACAGGGTAGCTGAATGGATAAGAAAACATGACCCACACATATGCTGCCTACAAGAGACCCACCTCAGAGCAAAAGACCTACACAGATTGAAAGTAAAGGGATGGAAAATAATATTCCAAGCAAATGGACATGAAAAAAAGGCTGGCGTTGCCATACTTGTATCAGACAAAGTAGATTTCAAAGCAAAGGCCATAAAGAGAGACCCAGAGGGGCACTTTATCATACTGAAAGGAAGAATCTATCAAGAAGACATCAACATTGTAAACTTATATGCTCCCAATATAGGAGCCCCCGAGTTTATAAGGAAATTGTTGGATGACTTCAAAAAAGATATAGATAGCAACACACTGATAGTAGGGGATTTCAACACCCCACTGTCAAAAATGGACAGATCTTCCAAACAAAACATTAATAAACATATCGTGGCGCTGAATGAAACACTGAATCAAAGAGACTTAACTGACATATATAGAATCTTACATCCCAAAGAAGAAAAATACACATTCTTTTCAAATGCTCATGGCAGTTTTTCAAAGATAGACCCCATGATAGGACACAAAGCAAGACTCAACAAATTCAGGAAAATTGAAATAATACCAAACTTTTTCTCAGACCACAAGGCCTTGAAACTCGAAATCAACCTCAAAGAGAAACTTCAAAAACTTGCAAACTCATGGAGACTGAACAGTACACTATTAAACAATGAATGGGTCAATAATGAGATAAGAGAAGAAATCAAAAAATTTCTGGAAACAAATGAAAATGAACAGACAACTGTCCAAAACCTATGGGACACAGCAAAGGCGGTCCTGAGAGGGAAGTTCATAGCAATACAGGCTTACCTAAAAAAGATAGAAACATTTCAAATAAAAGACCTAACACTACAACTTCAAGAACTGGAGAAACAACAACAAATAAATCCCAGAGCAAGGAGAAGGAAGGAAATAGTCAAGATTAAAGCAGAACTGAATGACCTAGAGACAAAAAGAACAATTCAGAGGATCAACCAATCCAGAAGCTGGTTCTTTGAAAGGATAAATAAAATTGACAAGCCTTTAAGCAGACTCATCAAGAAAAAAAGGGAGAGGACCCAAATTAATAATATCAGAAATGAAAGAGGAGAAATAACAACTGATACCACAGAAATACAAATGATCATCAGAAACTATTATGAACAATTATATGCCAAGAAATTTGAAGATCTTGAGGAAATGGACAAATTTCTAGGAAAGTATAATCTTCCAACACTGAAGGAGGAAGAAACAGAAAGCTTGAACAGACCGATAACAGCTGGGGAAATTGAAGCAGTCATCAAGAAACTCCCAGCACACAAAAGCCCAGGGCCAGACGGTTTCCCAGGAGAATTTTACAAAACATTTAAGGAAGAGCTAACCCCTGTCCTTCTCAGACTATTCCAAAAAATCCAAGAGGAGGGAAGACTCCCAGACTCCTTCTATGAGGCCAGCATCACCCTGATCCCAAAACCAGATAAAGACCCTACAAAGAAAGAAAACTACAGGTCAATTTCGCTGATGAACATAGATGCTTAAATCCTCAACAAAATATTGGCAAACCGCATCCAGAAATACATTCAAAAGATTATCCACCACGATCAAGTGGGATTCATCCCAGGGATGCAGGGATGGTTCAATATACGCAAATCAGTAAACGTGATACATCACATAAATAAAAGAAAAGACAAAAACCACATGATCATCTCGATAGATGCAGAAAAAGCATTTGATAAGGTACAACACCCATTTATGATCAAAACACTCAGCAAAATGGGAATAAATGGGGCATTCCTCAACGTAATAAAGGCCATATATGAAAAACCTACAGCTAATATCATACTCAACGGGCAAAAACTGAAAGCTTTCCCACTAAGATCGGGAACACGACAAGGATGTCCGCTCTCACCGCTTCTTTTCAACATCGTATTGGAAGTCCTAGCCACAGCGGTCAGACAAGAGAAAGAGATAAAAGGCATCCAAATAGGAAAGGAGGAAGTAAAGCTATCATTGTTTGCAGAGGACATGATAGTGTACATAGAGAACCCTGTAGACTCCACCAAAAAACTCCTCAACCTAATAAGTGAATTTGGCAAAACAGCAGGATACAAAGTCAACATTCAGAAATCAAAGGCGTTTCTGTACACCAGCAATGCAATAGAAGAAGAAGAAATCAGGAAAAATATACCATTCGATATAGCACGAAAAAAGATAAAGTACCTAGGGATAAATTTAACCAAAGACACAAAAGACCTGTATGCAGAAAACTATGCAACATTGAAAAAAGAAATTAAGGAAGACACAAATAAATGGAAGCATATACCATGCACATGGATTGGAAGAATTAATATCCTTAAAATGTCCATACTACCAAAAGCAATTTATAGATTCAACGCAATCCCTATTAAGATACCAATGACGTATTTCACAGAAATAGAACAGACATTTCAAAAATTTATATGGAACCATAAACGACCTCGAATAGCCGCAGCAATTTTGAGAAAGAAACACAAAGTAGGAGGGATCACAATACCGGACATCAAACTCTACTACAAAGCCACTACACTCAGAACAATCTGGTACTGGCACAAGAACAGACCCAGAGACCAGTGGAACAGAATAGAAAGCCCAGAAATAAGCCCAGGTCTATATGGACATCTAATATTCGACAAAGGGGGCAGAAGCATAAAATGGGGCAATAACAGCCTCTTCAACAAATGGTGTTGGGAGAGCTGGACGGCTACATGTAAAAAATTGAAATTGGATCATCAGCTGACACCATACACAAAAATAAACTCAAGATGGATAAAAGACTTAAATATAAGTCGCAACACCATCAAAGTCCTCGAGGAGAACATTGGCAGGAAACTCTCAGATATCCCACGCAGCAATTTTTTCACTGATAGGTCTCCTAAAGCAAGGGACATAAAGGAAAGAATAAACAAGTGGGACCTCATCCAAATAAGAAGCTTCTGCACGGCGAAAGAAAACATCAGCAAAATGAAAAGGGAGCCAACCATTTGGGAAAATATATTCGCTAATGATACATCAGATAGAGGTTTGATCTCCAAGATATACAAAGAACTCACTTGACTTTACTCCAAGAAGACAAACGATCCAATCAAAAAATGGGCAAAGGACCTGGGCAGATGCTTTTCTAAGGAGGAGATACAGAGGGCCCAGATGCATTTGAAAGGATGCTCAGCATCACTAGCCATCAGAGAAATGCAGATCAAAACCACCATGAGGTATCACCTCACACCGGTCAGAATGGCCATCATAAACAGATCCACAAACAACAGGTGCTGGCGAGGCTGTGGACAAAAGGGAACCCTAGTCCACTGTTGGTGGGAATGCAGACTGGTGCAGCCACTATGGAAAGCAGTGTGGAATTTCCTCAGAAAGCTGAAAATGGAACTGCCTTTTGATCCAGTGATTCCCCTGCTGGGACTATACCCTGAGAACACCAAAACGCCAATACAAAAGAACCTATGCACCCCAATGTTCATGGCAGCACAATTTACAATAGCCAAGTGTTGGAAGCAACCTAAATGCCCATCAGTAGATGACTGGATCAAAAAATCATGGTACATATACACAATGGAATACTACACAACAGAAAGAAAAAAAGAAGTACTAAACTTTGCGACAGCATGGATGGAACTGGAGAGCATCATGCTAAGCGAAATAAGCCAGGGGGCGAAAGACAAATACCATATGATCTCACCTATAAGCGGAACCTAACCAACAATGCAAAGAAGCAAGGAAAATATGACCAGCAACACTGAAAGGAAAAGAAATCAACAGAGACAAGAGGGAAGGGGGGGGGCAGGGAAAGGGAAGGGAAGGGGAAAGTCAAGGAACATAAAGCAAGGACTCATGGACAAAACCAAAGGGGAAGAGCTGAGGGAGGGAAGGTGGGAGGGGGCAAGGGAAAGAGGTGGGGGGAAGGCAGAGACAAATGTATTTAAAAAGTAAATAAATTAATTAAAGTATCAAAAAAAAAAAAAGAAAATTTAAAAACTGTTTCTAAAAAGTATTTTAAGCTTATTTGCAAAATAGCTTGCCAAAAGCACAAATGACATGCATTTGCCAGTATCCAAATAATCCTTGAAAAAGAAGTACAAGTTGTTCTATCTATGTAACAAATACACAGTTTATATAAATTAAAGATATGGCAAGATTCAGTCACTCATTAAATCTTTCATAAAATCAGTTCATTATTTTTGTGAAGTTTGATCCTACTTGTTCCTGCCATTATGGATGAGAAAGAAACTTACATTCTCATGTAGCATGCTACATGAGAATGTAAGTTTTCAAATAACTTTAAAAACAATCAAGAGGTACCCTTGCCTTTGAATTTGCATTATCTATCATCATTCTTCAGAGAGTATTAAAATGGCCAATATATTTTTCTATCTGTTGTTTTTTAAAATTTATTCTTCTGGATTATAAAAATAAAATGAAGTATGCTTTTATAACACCTATAATTATAAAACCAATAATTAACATTTGTTTTTCAGCATAATAAGAATATTTCCTTAACTTTTAAAGTATATTTTAAATGT